TATAAGAGCGTAAACGTGTATATAAGCACGTGTATTTGCCAGTCTATTTATCCTTGTGCACATTTCAACCGATTTGTAGTTTTCTTGAATCGAGATAAGTAGATATACATTTCGTGGATTAATTTACAAATTTTAAAAATACTACAGATGTAAATAAAACACAGTTTGTATGTTCCGCCAATCCATTGGTACATATTGAACTATTATATAAACTTTAATTGTTGAATTTTAATTTAAAAAAAGTAAAAAAAAAAAGAGAGAAAGAAGCATAAACTCGTGTGACCCCTGTAATCGAATAAAGGAAAGGGGAACAAAAAAAAAAAGCGGCAAAAAAAAAGCAAAAAGGACCCGTGTGGCAAGAGAAGAAAAACCACCTCTACATGCAAACCTCACTTGTAAATATTAATCATGAAATAAAACTTCGAGGAGAGTATTCTATGAATCAGGTATTCCCCGGGAAAGGTGCAAAAGTACATAGATTCTCTATCATCAAGGGGTCTATTTAAAACTCCGTACAATTTATAATTCTCAAGCGTGAGCTTTTTTAGGAACGAATTTTGTAAATTAGAAATATGAGAATTCATCCTAGTGGAAAAAATTTTCATTAAACAAATAACATTTTCCCTCTCCCCAAAGTTTCTCTGTAAACTCTGTCTATCTTTATGGGATTCGTAACTGCTGCCATGGTCTGACGCCTCTTCTAGAAGTTCACCTAGCCTGTGCTTTAGAAGGGACATCTCAGCGTATTTAATTATGTTGGAGAAGGTAACCTTTTGGGGTGTACCATTTCGAGGTGAGGGTGATGATGGGGGCAAAGATGAGATTGATGAAAGGGTCTGGGGTAGGTATCCCCCTGGGGATGATAATGGTACAGATGGGTATGGTACTGGGTTGGGGCTCGAAGTTCTGGGGTTATCTTCTTCGGGCGATGCAGCTGGAGTTGCCGCTCTTGGTGTGTCTTCATCGGAGGATCTCGCTGGACTTGCCTCTCTTGCTGTGTCTTCATGGGACGGTGTCGCTGGACTTGCCCATCTGGGTGTGTCTCCATTGGACGATGTCACTGGACTTCCCGCTCCGATAGTGTCCCCATCGGACGATGTCGCTGGACTTGGCGCTCTGATTGTGTCTCCATCAGACCATGAGTCTGCGTCTCCTGCTTCTTCCTCCGCATGTATTTCTTGACCAACTTCTGATAAATTCTCATTGTAGTAAGCAAGCAAGGCCGAACCGACCATATCAACTATCTCTGTCATAGTCTTAAGGCATAAATCCATGATGTATTTTTTTGGCACATTCTTCTGGATTTTTTCCATTTTTACTATTTTCTCAATATTTTGAGATGAAAATTTTTCGATAAATAAATCCAGAACCGTTTTGTTCTTGTTATATATGCCCATATTCACTTGATTGAAAAACCAAGAAATGGTTGCAATTATATTTATGGAGCAAATGTTTTTTATATTTGAACTATTTCTTAAGAAGAACAACTCAGGGGTCTCCAAATCTTTTAAAAATAAAGATCTTATTTCTTCATTGTACACCCTTTTAATCCTTTCTATAACGTCATAAATGTAATAGGAAAAATCGTATATCATTTTAATATGCATATTTGTATCCGATTCTCTACACTTAAAGTTAAAAATGGAGAAAACAAAACTTTCCATTTTGTTTTGTCTAGTCTGGTGTTCCAAGTATTTTTTGCTCGACTTCTTTACCAAGGAGGAAGTTAACTTCTCCATTTTTTCAAATGACTTCAACAACTCTTTACAGCTGTGCAATGGGTTCGACATGTCCGTTACCTTGCTACTCACCTCATTGTTAAAGTTGCTAGTATACGATGAAATGTAGGCAGAGAAAATACCCATGATGTTTGGAAACCTGCGTAGCTTTTGATTTATCTGCATTGATAATGTTTTTCGCAAGATATCACATGTTGTTGACACGTCCTTCGAATCGTACGAATCCATGTTGACTAAGCTAGACATTAACTTTGACAGGACGTAAGTCACCGGGAAGTTGACGATAAGGGACTGGTTTGACTTTCCTGCGAGGGGGGCACACAAGAAGCGGAGCCATTTAATGCTGTGCCGTGGGAGCGTTAAATGACTGGCCGTGGAAGCATTAACTCACACACCGTGGAAGCATTAAATCACGCTCCATGGAAGCATTAACGACTGTGCAGAGAACAGTGTACCGGGGAGTGGCCCCCGTTGGGCAGATTAACCAAGTGCTCGACTTGGCATCGCTCCGATGGAGACATCCACATCTGTGCCGTCAGCTTTCTCTATTTACTTACTTGATTCCTCATATTTCAGGCCTAACAAGGGCACTCTGATCACTGCGCAAATGGGGAAAAAAAAAAAAAAAAAAATCAACAAAATCAACAAAATGTCGTGATAAAGACTTAGGTTATTTCCCCAACGGGGTGTACATGCGCATTTATTTATTCACCTGTTTCCTTCTCGCTATTATTCTTTATGGACATGTTAATCGAATTATCTAGGCACTCCTTCTGATTCGCGAAAAAATGATGGCAATCTCGGCATATACTCATATAGGCATTTTTCCTTTGGGATGCATCACTATGCACCATTAAATGTGCAGACATGACGTAAGTTTGTATACAGAACGCGTCTAATAGACTTTCTACATCCATGTCCTGTGTGTTGATCGGGGAAAGGGCGGGTCATCACATGAGAGGAGGGAATGTCTGCTGTGTCGTGTCTCCCCAATTGGGAGAAGAAGAAGAACAAGAAAAAAAAAAAATGCATCTATTACCTCACTGTGTATGCTTCCCGCATCTTGTTCATAATACGCTAACACATCACTGTCTAATATACTGTCCAAGTAACTGTTAATTAATCCTTTTGATTCGTTTCCTTTTTTTTTGGAGAATCTGTCCTGGTGGCTACTGGTGGTTGCTCTAGGTTCTAAAGTTTTGTGTTTCGAAGGGGGAAAGTGGGAAATGTGAACAAAGTGGGGAACGTTCTTTACATTTTCCCCCATTTTGAAACTTTCACTTTGAATAAAAAGTGTGTAATGCTATCATTGTGTAACTGCATAATTGTGTCTTTTTTTTTTTTTTCTGCGAAGCATTGAACTACCTTCTACATGCACATCTACGCTCGTATCTAAAATAAAAGGAGAAAGGAGAAAAATAAATTGTGGCATTTGTTGGCATATATTCCGCTAGAAGAAAACGTAAGGATTTATTAAAGGCCTTACATCTGCCCATCAGTGAGTGTTCCTCTTCCGGCACGACTAAAATGATCGGAAAGGGGGGGGTTAAATTTGTTCTTTTGCATTTTTTTTTTTTTTTTGTGCAAGACGAGGCTGCCTTAAATTAATCGTTGACCACTCTCAACAATTCATACTCGCTCCTTTTTACATGCTCGATTACTGAACAAAAAACTTCCTGATGCTGTATTCGGAGGGGGGAAGTATGGGGAAAAAAAAAAGAATTACTTTTGTTCGCATCCTGTGTAGCTATGCCTTTGTTTGGTTTTTCCCTTTGCTCCCTTGTTTCTTTGTGAGTTCTTTTTCGGGGGTTACTTTTTTTTATGATCGATTTAACGGGCTCTAAGGGGGAAAGCAGGCGCAATTAGACAACATGTAGGAAGGAAGTAGCAAACAGGTAGGCAAAAGGTAGGAAAGTAGGTAACATGTGGGAGGAAGCGGTGAAGATGCAGTGGAAAGGTGAATACATAAAATTGCTCATCAGCCGTTCCCTTTCCCCTTTAAGTAAGCATACACTTGCGCTCGTCTAAGTCGTCGCAGATAGACGTCGATCTTTCGGCTTTCTTACTTCCAGTGCTCGTCGTAGGCTGATCCTCTATAATTACGGGTTGGGAGAGAAATCATAAAGGCGTGTGGGTATGCGCTCTTTGCAGAAAAGACAGGAAAAGCATCCTCGCGCTATGTTCATGCGCACTTATTTGTTCATTCGATACATTCGTTCTCATTTATTTGTTCGCTCCATTTCTCGAATAGTTCGCTTTGTCCTACCCGAAGAAGCGAGGCTTCGTACTGCAAAAATGGTTATGCCGGAGAAAGAAGAAAAAAAAAAAAAAAATTACACATCTGGAGAAGCTGTTTATGGTAAAATGGGACGCTTAGTTTTGTCCACCTTTCCCTGTTTCATCTTTTCATTTTTTCGCATCTCCACGTGAAGTACATTTCCTGATAGGGTTCGCTGAATTGGAATCTTTCATTTGAAATGCGATCAGGAGGGGATCAAAATGGGGTGAAGCAAAGAATAAAATTTGCGCCTCCAGGAGAAGTTTGCCCGACAGACAGATTAAACTGTTCGGTTAGCTCTTCTCCACGCGCAGTAAGGGACCATCGTGTCCTAAACTTACATGGGCTGGTACTACTTAAGGGTTCAAAGGCTGCAAAAGGGAGAGGGGGCACAAACGTAAGTAGGCGTGTTTACGTGCAGGACTGCTTACATGCATACAAATCTGTGCTTTTGTGGGGAATTGAGGCACATCTATATGCATATTTCCACTTATGTGCCAATGCATATATCCATGCATGACTACCACGACCACTCCCTTTCTCCAAACACACATATAAAAAGGAAAACCGCAACTGTACCATTTGGCCAATCCCACACGGCCCCTATTTTTTAATCCCTTTGGAATTTTCTTTTTTATTCGATTAACCTCCGATGGTGTCAAAGGATGACATGTAAGCTGAGCCAAGTTTAAAAAATAAAAAAAAAAAAGTGAGTCCATATGAATAGCCTCCAAAAGGCGGTTTCCATTCGTTACATCCACGTTTAAAATACAAGCAGGAAATATGTGTACGTAGACATATTCAAATGTGAATATGCTAGCATTTGTGGTAACTGGGGCAAGACTTACCCCCAGGATTAAGGTAAAGCATCAAGACAATCGCCAAGAGAAAGGCGAACTTCTCCATCGTCGGCATCATCTTTAATGAGGAGGAAGGGAAATTGTAGAATGGAAGGGAACTAATTCGCTGAAGAAAAAGACGCAGAAAATAACAGTACTTTGGGGGGAACTGTTGGAATGAAGTTGAGACGTGTCAAACTGCTGAGGGGGGGAAATCGTGGACTCCAAACTGGAGTGATTAAAATGACGAGTTTAATAAACGAGTTACACACGAACGGACAAAATAGTTTGGAAAAAGTAGCTTAGACAAAATAGCTTAGACAGAACAAGATGCACAAAGTAAACAATCCAAAAAAAAAAAAAAAAAAGCGTCTCTTTCACTCACTTAAATTAAAATTAAAAAGAGGTAA